TGTTAGCATTTAAAAGTCAAATATGCAGCCTCAGATAACATGGATAACACCATATCTGCTTTGACTGAGTTACTTTTTGCAACATACAAACCTGATGTGTCTGCTTAAAAGTAAGCCTCACTGATTTAAATCAGATATAATCCTAAGTAAGTAGGTTTTGTTCTCCAGCTTGATCCTGTTATTATATTGTCAACCATCACTGTCCACCCACTCATGAAAAACTTCAACTAAGCTCGGAGGAAATATGTCTTGAACCTTCCATTACAAAACTCAGAGGTGGTTTCCTTGGCTGAGAATATTAATCTTGTCTAATCATTCATCCGTGATTAATTTTAGGTCAGATTCTGCTGGTGTTACAGAATATGTACTGAACATCTGTTAGAGAATTTGTTATTTATTTTGCTAACATCTCAGTGGGAAGATTGTCTTGGAATGTCATTAAACATGTAAACAGTTTGTTAAAGTATATGAGTGGAATGATTATCCAAAGCTAATTACTGAAAAGCCAGCTGACAGTATAATCTGATTTGATAACAACTGGCCTCTGCAATATCTGATCATAAGCCGGAGACGTTTTGTGTTTAGATTGAAAAGAAATGAAAATTGAGTTCTAGAGTCAGCCAGGAAAAGGAGAACAACAATTCTATGCATATTTACTCAAAAGTAAGGTTAACTAAATTAAATTAATTCCCAAGTGTGGCTAGGATTGCAGACTTAAATGGTTAAGACACAGTCTATTGAGATCTTTTGCCCTGTCATTATCAGGAAAGCAGCACCGAATTGGATCTATTTGATGCTTGCCATATCTGCATTGTCATTCAATGGCTGTCTAGTACCTGCCAGCGCTTGGAAAAGGCACTTTTCTGACTATAATTCCCAGAATTCCCCGACCAGCATGACTAGACTAATTGGTAGATTGCTTTCGTCCAGAAAAGAAACTTTTCCCTCTTATCATTTATGCAAACTTCACTATGGAAGAATGAATGTGACTCATACAAAAGGAGTTTGAAGCTTTTTTAATTCTTTGAGAGTGCTGATAAGCGTATAAATAAGTGCAAACAAGTGTTTTTATTTATACAGATGGGACTTAGGGCATTGCATTGTACAGTTGTACACCATAAAGCTAAATGTGGTAACTTGAATGTTCTTGGGAATCCCCTTGGTGCACTTTGGTGACCATTATGCATCAGAACTGATGCTTAGTAGTCCACTTCACTTACATAGGAGTAACCTCACAGCAGCCCTTTGCTAAATATGGATGTTCCCGTGCTCCTCAATTCTGTTTCCTGCAGAAATAGGTCCACTTACATAAAAATAAGTTCCTTACTGAATTCCAAAATACTTATGAACATGCTTTTCCTGCTTTCCCTCTCTCCCTTACAATTTCATTCTTCTTGTCATCTCCTCATTTATTTATTTTTACTTTTCGGATTCCCACATGGATTCTAGCAAAAACCCTGGACTCCAAGGCCTCAAGATTCATTTTGCCTTAACAGATGAGATACAGGAGGACCACCTGGATGCAACAAATGCCTTTCCCCTGTCCAAACTCGAATTTAACATTCCAGCTTTCTGGGTTCATGAGGGTATGCTCGATTCTGGCCACAGGGAGAGCTACCACTTCACCATCCACTTGTGACACCAAGGCCTTGATGGAGTACTTCCTTATACTTACGGACACTGCTGGATGGTTTTATGGTGTCATAAATTAGTTGAATTAGCCTCCCCACATAAAGCGGTACCTAAACTTCCTACTTGATAGATGCAACTGTCTTTCGGGTTGCATAAGTCAACAGCAATCTAGACTATTAATGGTCAGGAGCTCACTCCGACCTGGGCTGCCTTCGAACTTGTGACCTCTTGGTCAGTAGTGATTTAATGCAGCTGGCTACTAACTAGCTGCACCACAGCCCGGTCCGATATCCAGGAACAGTTGTTGGGCTATTTCAACAGCTTTCCCAATTGCCATCATGTTTATGCTGCCTCTATGAATGAGAGATCTCCAAGTCACTTCTTTGTCTATAGCCCTAGTCAGTTCTTCCACATTCCAAACTATAGCTTCCTTGATTGAGTCTATATACCTGTAATATGGTCCTCCTCTTTTCCTAGTGAATTCTCCCTTACTAAGAATTATTCACTTCTCTGGTGAGCCATATCTTCTCATGGTGTGTCCACAACAGTCTCAGTTTAGACACCTGGATGTCTATGAATTGCTCAGGCTTGATTTACCTTTGGATGCATTTATTTATCTTTTTGGTGGACCATGGTAGCCACAGAAACCTTCTCTAGGGCCTCCTCCTCCCCCCTTTTCTTTTGTATGTTTCTTTATACCAAATGTGAACCGGATAGCTGTTAAAAAATAATGCCATTCAAATAGAGGTCTGGTCTTTAGCAGCCATTCATATAGTAGAGTAGGACACATATTAAGTAAAACACATGGCTGCCCAGCAACTAATAGATTTATTCAGTTCTCTGGGAAGCACCAGAATGCACTGAATGGCTTGTGAATACAAGGAATAAACAGAAAAGGCAAGTGTAAGGATCTCTTCACCTTAGAAGATACCAACCTTGTTTATCAGCTCATTAACCAGTAGAATGCCCCTGTTTGCTGTAAATTGATCTTTAGCCATGCAGTAAGTTGTGGACATTAATAGATTGTCTAATTCTTATGGGTGAATCTATTTGCTTTTGAATAAATAGGCATTTTTTATTTTTTTTAGATTTTGAGAGCAAAGCCTTTACAGCCTCTTTCTCCCATTGAGGCAGTTAATATTCCCCAGACTAGCAATTAGCAAAGGCTGGCTTTCACTCAGTGAGGATTAAGGGGCTTATCAACTCACTATTAATGTATGGAGAGGAATTATACATACTTCCTAGGAAATGTCAAAGGTGTAGTGTACAGTAATTATACAAACGTGGAAAGAACCACGTTCAGTATCTCATCATCAAGGAGAAATTAATCCTTCGGCCTGATGAGACAGTTGATTTTTAATATGCAAGTTCCAAAATTTGATTGGCTTGAGGAATTCATTAGCAAAGCATAAAATACATTTGTTGCTGTGTGCCCTCAAGTCAAGTCTAATTTATACTCACCTATCACAGGGCTTTCTTTGCAAAATTAGTTCAAAGTGGGTTTGTCCTTATCTTCCTCTGAAAGAGCAAAGTTTCCTTGGCTGTGTTTGAACCCTGTTCTCCAGAGTCATGGAGTCATAATCCAGTGCTCAAACCACAGCCCCAAACTGGCTCACAAAATAGATGTGTACGTATGAATGTGGCATGTTACAAAACTGATGGTGCCATGTGTTTGCATGAATACATCTAAGAGTAGTTACAACTCATTGCAAAGTGTCACTTTAGATGGTAGCTTTAGCATAAAGGCTTTGCTGGTCCAAGATACAATGAAAAGAAATGAGAGCATCTGGCTCTGTTAATATTTTTTTATCTGTGCAATAAACCCTTCACGTTGTCCTGTCATGAAAGATGCACCATCAGTACATACACTCACTAAATTTACCAAATCCAGTATGTAGTTGCAAGCTAGTCAGGTTTAATTCATCAATAGACGAGTTGAGTTATCATAGGAGAGGATAAAATAAAACTGAGATAAGGTCTAAATCAGGCTGGCCTCCAGCATAGAGGACCATTATGTATGTCAACCTTCCTGAGAAACTAAAGATGGATAACTGTCTTAATACACTGCTCTAAAATGCTAATTTGTGCTGGTACTGGAAAAGTTATAATAATTATAGATATTCATAAGGAATTACAAATGTAGTTGATATACAAAGAAAATAGTGATTATATGTAGTTACAGAAGCCTTTTAGAACTGTGTAAATTCCATAAAAAATTAGAATGTATTCTGTCACGTATATTTGGCTGAATTATATTATTAAGGGGATTGTGAATACAAGGGACAGAGTTGTTTACAAGCAAATGCTTTTAGGAAATGTTTGTATAACATCTTAGCAGACACTGGGGAAGCTATAAAATTATGAAGGAACCTGTTGTTGTTGATGATGATGATAACGACGACTATGATAACTGTGATTTTTATGATGGATAAGAAGTATGTTAAATGGTTTAGAAGAATGATGTCTTTACAGCTGTTAGTGTTACCAAGCCTATTAAACAGAGGCAATGAAATATCAAGGATTAATCTTGCTGGACATATAATAAAATGGAATGATGCTTTACACTTAATTTAATGGAATCTCATCTCCCAGACATAGTTATGTCTGTTTCACTCTAAGAAAATTATATATGTTTACATGTCCATGAATACTTTTAATAGATAACTTAAAAGGTACTAAAAGCACCTGCTTAATTTCCATAGAAATATCCTGAAATTCCCAAATTTAAAGACACATAAATGAAGTGTTAAAGTTGACTATCTGGTTTAACCACAGTAATGAGTTGGGCACTAAGGTTGCCAAAAGTTAATGAAAGTAACCAGACAGAATCCAGAACTAGTTGACAAGCGTGCACTGTAGTGTTACAGGCTAGATTACAGTATGTAGCTTCTAACTTTTTTGCCTGGTCATGTATACAGAATTAACCTGATGTGGCTTATAGAGTATAAGATACAGCATAAGAACTAATTCAAACAGGCCTGTGAAAGTGTGTCCTTTCTTCCTTTGATGCACCATTAAGAAACTGGCTTCAGTCTGGAAGCAATGTCAGATCTTATTGGAATGTAAATAAGATGAGATATATAGACCTGTACAGTTATAATCCAGTACTTATAAATGCTTAGGTGGATTGTTGATGATAATACTAACTATCCAGTTCAACCACCATTATGAGCTGGGCATTTATGTAGCCAGAAGTTGATAAACCACAGAGAATATTATAGATTAGTTGGCAAGGACCTTCGGAACATGAATATTTCAGCCTTGTTTTAAATCATCTTCCTTTTCATATTGTCCTTTGCATTCCTAGAGTTCATCCTCTGATTTAGTGTCCATGTCCTTTTCCTGACCTCATTTGGTTTGCTCTTCAGATGGTGGGCAGGAGAATGGCAGAAATGCTCAACTACCTGTGGTCCAACAGGAGAGAAGAAAAGGACTGTCCTCTGTGTCCAAGCCATGGGGCTTGATGAGCAAGCCTTGCCTGCTGAAGAGTGCCAGCATCTACTGAAACCAAAGACTCGCCTTTCATGCAACAGGGATGTCCTCTGTCCATCTGATTGGACAGTAAGCAACTGGACTGAGGTGTGTTTTCAAGACCAACTATTTTTTTTTGACAATGCATCTATCTCTTCTTCTTCAGAGCAGCTTACGTAAATTGTGAGCTTATATGTACTGGCAGTGGCCCATCCATAACTTAACTTCAGAAAAAGAAGCACATCATTCGCCTTCAAACCATTCTTTGTGCTTACAGAAAAGAGTCTTATTATAGGTAATTACTGTTTTCTTGACTCAGGAAAAGATAGCTGCTACTCTGTCCTTTTTGATCCTGTCAATTGGTCTGCAGAGCCTTGAAAATATTTAACTAATTTTGCAAGTGGTTCTGAAACAGATAGTTACAGTAAATTCTAATTGAAGCCTGGGCATTGTTAAGATAAAACCACTGTACCACATACAGATGCAAAGCTTAGTTAAATACATCATGAGGATAGGGCATGAACTGGGCAGTTACGAACTGTTCCAGTAAAATAGTGCAGACAGTCCTCTGGTGCAAGTGCAAGTTTTCAGGGACTCCCAATAATCTGAAGGGACAAGTGAATCTACCTCCAATTTGATCTATGCCTTGTTTTAAATTTCAAAATATGCCTTGTTTCAGGAAGAGCAAACATTATCTCTCTCTTCAAAAAAAAGGACCTAGAGATTACTATAGAGAACATTTTCATTGGTTCCAAAAATAATCTAATCCACAAAATCAAACCCACAAATACGGAGACCCAACTGTATAACCTTTTTGTATACCAGGCAATATAGCAGAGGTGCTAAGAAAACCCTTTGTTAAATTACAAAGATTGAGCAAGTGTGCTCAATGTGAAAGAGCAATGAAGAAGATACTTGCTTTTCATTGCTCTTGTTATGCAAGACCAAAATAAGCAAAAATTTACATGGGCTGTCTAATCTAAGAAAAAGTGATGTGCCTCTGCTTTATTAATAAATAGCTAATTGGTATTTTTTTTAAAAATGAAAATGCCCATAAGAACAACAACTTCCTCCTCAATTAAAATGTGGAATTTAATGTTTTGCAGCCCCTTGTTGCAAATAGGTCCTAGCTGGAATGAGTAATAGGTACATAGTGTAAGTATTTATCTTAGTCCCAATGCCTTCAAGCTTTTTTCCTCCTCACTCATGCAAAAATTAAATAGAAGACTAAACTGCATATGACTTTATCCAAATTCCACTGCTGGTCATTTTGTGTGCCTTTTCAATTCCCTCTTATCTTCTAATTTCTGGACAAATGAAAATGTGATGCTGGTAGAAATTGAATTATATGTTAATTTCAGCTCATATTGTTGATTAAGCATAACATCTACATTAATAACTCTGCCTTTAAGCAGAGCCGTGTCTCAGTTTCCTGTGAAGCTGTTCCAGACATGGCACGATAGTTTGGCATCTGCCAGCATGCAGTACTACTACATTGTACTGTGCCTTCAAAGTGTTCCAACTTTTGTTGACCCTAATGTGAACCTATCATAATGTTTTATTTGCAAGAATTGTTCCAGTGGGGTTTGCCTTTGCTTTCCTCTTACACTCATTGGGTTTCCCCAGTTAAGCAGGGATTCAAACTCTGGTCTCCAGAGTCCTAGTTCAACACTCAAAACAGTACAACACTCTGGCTCTCTATTGCTACAACTAGGGATTTATTTATTTATTTATTTATTTATTTATTTATTTTGTATACTTCTACCCCGCCCTTCTCAACCCCCGAGGGGGGACTCAGGGCGGCTTACAAAAAGGCACATCTTGGTGCCTGCACAAATACAATAACATATAAAACCAGCAATTAAATGGTCAACAATTAAAAACAATTAAAACAACAATATATCACACAATCAATAGCCAATCTCAGACATGACTTTGTTCATCACTTGGACACAGTTTTAGGTAACTCTCAGAATTTGCAGTGGTCATGCTAGCTAGCAGGTGTTGGGATTTGTAGCTTTAAAAAAACAATTTCTCCATTTTCTGATTTTAATTCAGAGGCTTTTATGAAGTTGAAATTACATATACACATCAAAACATATTGTGGAACTGCACATGGCATGCATGGTTTCCATCCTCATCAGCATATGCAGACAACAGCTGTTGCTAAATGCACATAGAGTTCCTCTAAATTGATCATGAAGCCAATCCGGTTAAAGTCCTCATTTGTGTGGAATTGCTCCATGTTCATAGCTGTATACTGTCAATGCCAGTTCGGGACATTGCTGTATATGCCACTGAGACACAACTTTGCAAGCCATTGTATATACTTTTGAGTGAGACATCTCACTCTCCTCTTCCAATGAGACATCTCACTCTCTTATTTTAGTAAAGTCATCATGTCACCAGGACATTTGCAACTGGCATATAATTAAAAAAATAGCCACTGAAGACTATTTAAAGAATGGCCATAATCTATACACACAACATTGGTCAGCAACAGCAATGGCTGCTTTGTTTTGTTAAAAGCAACTTCTGGGCAAGAGAAGTCTGTCTGTGTAGCAGCTGTCTGAGTGCTGGCATCACTATCCTTTGAAAACAGAAACTATCCTTGGTTCAGTCCAGTGCAGATATGGGTTCTAGGAAAGTATCCCATCCAATGTGCAAAAAATATGGTATTGCTGCTAGACCAAGTGTAACTAACACAAAGATAACACAGAAGCATGCTTGAGGGCCATCAATCAAACCAGGAATGTTAGACCAAAAGGACAAGCTTTCAGGTTAGAGCTAAAATACATGTAAGATGTACTGATTCCATTAAAAATAGTTGCTTAGTAAAACATAAAAAAGAAAATGTGTGAGCACATCCTGTTCAGAAAGATCCAGTGGCCTACAACGGAGTCAAGCAGATGTTTCCAGCTGCAGTTCCAAAAGTTCACCACACAGGCAGCTGCATAAAAATCCAAGAGTTTCTAGATTTAGCCTTGAGTTTTGTAAATGGCTTGTTGTTCCTAGGAGATGGAGAAATAAATGTGATATCTGATGATTGTTTGTTTATTTTGCAGTGTACAGTTACCTGCGGTGGAGGAGTACGAACTCGTCATATCACCTGTCCCAAAAATAATGGAGAACCCTGTGACATTTTAAAGAAACCTCATTCTAAAGCACTGTGTGGTCTCCAACAATGCCCACCCACCAGAAGACCACTGTTTCCCCACTTCAAAGTGCTGAATGGAAAGATAATCAGGAGAATTGGACCCAATACCAAAAGAGGCCCTGTCAATGATTTTCCCACCCAAAAGCCAAAACCAGGCATCTCAACCACCACCATCGCCATTTCCACCTCCACACATGTAACTCAGCCCGTTACTTCAATACCAACACCATTTAGCCTTAGGACTTCTTCCCAACAAGAAGACTTGGAAGTAACAACAACAGTAAAAATTAATTCTAGTAACTCAAGCATTCACAATTATTCCTATGCATTTAGTGATAACAGTTCACTGAAAAATACCACTTGGAAACCCCTGACAGATAATTCAAGTGTTTCGGAGTCTACAGACATCTCCACGATAAAGCCCTGTCATTTTTCAGTGAGCGGTTTTATAAATAACTCCATTTCCACTGACCCCATGTCTAGCACTGTGATCTCAGAGTATTCAACTGAAGTAGCCAACCCAATTTCTACTAATACTGATGGAGGAGCAAAAGACAAAGTTGAGAGTGAATGGACAACACAACGATCTTCTGTTACTATCACTGGCCAGATGTCACCAACTTCACCTACAGTGCATCTTCCTGACACTTCTAGCCAGATTTCAGTTATCCCAACAGAAGAGGTTTTGCTGACCACAGTAGGTCCCAAAGACCTACAGATAAATAAACCTACAGCAGCAGATGCTGTTACAGAACAACCAGCCCAGTTGGAGGACATATTAAGGGATGAGAACAAAACAACAGTCAGATCTTTTAGTGATGGGACATATAGCTGGCCCACAAAAAGCCCATTACTGCAGGACATCCATGTTCCAACAAGTCAGGATGAAGCTTTCAAGATGGTTTTGTGGAACAGCTCTAACCAAGAGCATCCAGAAGACCCCATAACTTCCCATAATGAGGCTTACTGGATAGTTGGAAACTGGAGTGAAGTGAGTTTTGTGATTTCTTATATTGTGTGTGTGTGTGGGGGGGGGGGGGGTGTTGTACATAGTGTAACATGGAGAAAGGGCCTTTAGCCCCAGTCTTTGGTATATGACAAGTAGCTGTGTATCACATAACTGTTCTACAGATTTCTGAAGTGTGCAGTTCATGTGTGTGTGTGTGTGTGTGTGTGTGTGTAGAGCAGTGTGTAGGCAGAATAGCCTAAGGTTGACCCTGAGTGAGGGCCGGGTAAATGACCTTGAAGGGCCATATTCGGCCCCCGGGCCTTAGTTTGAGAACCCCTGATCTAGTGCAAACTTGCCCAACGTAACAAGCTTAAGTACTGATGGAGTTTTTCAGGGTTAACCTGGCATGATGTGAGTTGTACTTCACCCACAACCTTATGCATTTTGTACAATTCAAAAAACTGACTTTATCAAATAACCCGGACAATGCCACGTACCCAAGTTAGCATATTAATACAACAGCCCTTGCAACTACACATACAACAAAAGCAATCTTTTCAGAGAGAGTTTTGAACTCTGTGAAACTGACTTTCAATAAGCAAATTTATTGTTTTCTCACATCAGTACTAATTGACCACGCTAAAAATGCCTGCATCAACTTGCCCAACCTTATGAAAATTTAGGGCAAGTAACATGATTTGAATCTTTCTGAGTCCTATTAAATTATGTTCCACAACTGTATATTATTTATGTTTGAAGCCTTATTACTACTCAATACTGCATCCAAAGAAGTAGATTTATATAGGTTTCCTGAGCTTATTCAACAGGGGAAGGACCAGGGCAAGGGAGGGGGGTAGCTTGTAAATGCAAGACTGAGCACTAGATGGTGCCAAGTTGATTGAGATAGAAAAAAGAGGATCGAAAGAGCAGATGGGTCAAAAGTGCAGTACTTGACTAGAATATAGATCTGTCAAGTGAGTTGTTGGAACTCAAGGCATCAAAGCATTTTTGCCTTCCTACCAGACTAAGCCAAGCACATCAGTACGAAACTGCTCACAGAATAAAATTGCTTGCCATCTCTATATGGGAGGTATAAATAAAATTTATTATTATATTACTAGCAGTCTCTTCCCCAGTGCTACGCAAACCTGCTCTTGGGTTTTGGCGTTATTTTCAAAGTTGCCCAACTTTTCAACTATGGCTGTCCTTTGGGGGGGGGGGGCAGAATATCTCACCCTGAAGTGGCCACAGAGTCATGCTTGAATATATGTTCTATGGAAAAAAACTCAACCCATGTACAAATACGAGAAATTCAACTCTACTTGTTGTCAGGGAAATTAGGAAAGACATTTCTAAGGAAAGGAGAAATTATGCAAAACTGTCTTGGTCATGAAGTTCACCATACTGTCTTGCAATATCCATAGTTACTTTTTCCAAGGTTTATTTGGGAGGAAAATAGTCAGACCACCATTGTGGATAGCATCTGATTTCAGGACATTATGTGGAGAATATTCATTGGAAATTCTGTGCAGTGATTGTTTATTTGGTGGTAAATTGTGAAGACAGGAAAAGTCACTGTAGTTTTCTCAGGAACAGAGCGACCCAGCTCTAAATATGACAGAGGAAAACTATCTCCCCAGTTTTAGAAACAGAATATAAAAGGGAAGTTACTTCATTTGTACTTGATGAGAAATGATTACGATCTGCCTCTTAACACAGCAAGTTGCATCTCACTGGGAAACTTTGAGGTGCTCCCACAGAGACATTCAGAACAGCTTGTGGAAGCAGTTAGGCAAGAAATTGATGTTTTCCCATTTTCCAGCTCATCATAAAACTGTCAAGTCAATCAACAGGGTACTATGGAGACTTTCAGTATAATGGAATAGTTTGCGCAGCTGTTCTTTGTCTCTTAGGGATCCCTCCTTCTGAATGAAAGGAAGTTGCTTTTTCTAGAACCCATAATAATATGTGCGCACTACCATCTTTAGGTCCTCCAATTCTAAGAAGGGGTGCAACTGGTATACCAGCTGAAGCTGATAATAAGCACTCCTGATGGTTGCATCTATCTGGGCTGTAATTTGGAGGCACCCCCATGCTACAAAAACATTTTCCAGAGGAAGCATAACCTCATCAAGGGCTGATTGATACACATCCAGCCCCAGGTTAGGCTTTTTGACATTAAGAAGCTCCAACTTGACTGGGGTTTTGTTCTGTTTGTTTGTACTCATCCACCCTCTTGCCTCTTCCAGGCATGCATTCAGGGGAGACACGCTGTCTTTAGCTGATGTTATTATTGAAGGCATAGAGCAGCATATTTGGACACCATCAGCTTACTCACAGTCCAACCCCCCGCCAGGTGAAATGCACAATCAAAGTAGTTCTGACAGATATCCAGTCAGCCTCTGGTTAAAATCCTCCAGAGGAAGAAACACCACTATTCCAAAGCAGTGTATTCAACTACTGAACAGCTTTTATCATCAGGAAATTATTCCTAATGTGTAGGCAGAATCTCTTTTCTTCTACTTTAAGTTCCAACATCTTGAGCAGCAGAAAACAAGCTTGCTCCAATATTGCATTTTTCAAATATTTAAACATGACTATCAGGTCACCTTTCAACCTTCTCTTCTCCAAGCTAAATATACCCAACTCCATATGTCGCTTACTTATAGAATGTGGCTTCCAAAACTTTGATCATTTTGGCCATGTTCTCTGGACACATTTTGGCTTGTCAACTAAGCAAAAAGTGGGTGCTAGAAATAATGTCATATGAAAGTTGACTGGCACAACCTAGGGATCACAAGCAGTCATGAAGTGAAGGCATCTGCCCTTGCACTTTGCTACTCTGCTGCCGAATACATCTCACCACATTGAAACAGTGGATGTGGCTCTTAATGAGACATGCCATATTATCACAGGATGTCAGCACCCCACACCACTGGAGAAATTACACTGTTTTGCTGGTATCGTACAACCTGACATCTGCCAGGAAGTAGCAGCCAACAATGAAAGGACTAAGACATTGACATCTCCGGCCCATCCTCTGTTTAGATACCAGCCAGCATGCCAATGCCTTAAATCAAGAAACAGCTTTCTAAGATCTACAGAGATACTTGCAGGAACACCTCAGTAAGTGAGAATCCAAAAGTGGAAAGCTAAAACCCAGCACCTCAATCAGTGGCTGAGGCCAGATGAAAAACACAGAAGAGTGGACAACTTAGAAGGCGTTGAACAGGCTGTGTGCTCTGACACCACAAGATGTAGAGCTAACCTTAAGAAATGGGGCTATAAAGTGGAATCCACAACATGCAAGTGCGGAGAAGAGCAAACCACAAACCACCTACTACAATGCAACCTGAGCTCCGCCACATGCACAATGGAAGACCTTCTCACAGCAACACCAGAGGCACTGAGTGGCCAGCTTCTGGTCAAAGGACATTTAGCATAATGCCAAGTTCTTTTTTAAAACTTTGTGTTTTTAAATGCATCTTAACTGTACCCTCAACTCGCTTTTGACACAATAAATAGCTTGTCAACATCCTTCGAAACTTGTGATGCCCATAACTAGAGACAGTATTCCAAGTGAAGTATGAGATAACCAGGATATTTCCCTTGATCTAGACACTTTAATACACTTGCTGCAACCTAGAATTGCATTGGCTTTTTTAGCTGCCACATCATAGTGTTGACTCATGTTCAGCTTGTGATCTATTAATACCCCTAGATCTCTTTCAAATGTACTGTTGCCAGTACATTTATCCATCCTTTATTTGTTCATTTCCTCTTTTTCTATATATGCATAGTACCCAACATTTCTCTCTGTTAGCAGTCATTTTGTCAAAAATGTGATCCAGTTCTCTGATCTGTTGTCATTTTGAATTCTGACCCTGTCCTCTGAGGCATTTGATATCCCTCCCAATTTGTTGCCTCTGAAAATTTCATAAGCATCCAAGTCATTATAAAAGATGTTGAATAGCACTGAGTACAGGATAGCACCGTGCACCATTCTTCCTAACGATCTCTCTCAGTTGGTCCATATACATATTGAACAGCATTGAGGTAAGAATGGGACCTTGTGGTATGTCATATAACTCCTTTTTGTTTTTGAGGAACACCTATCCTCAGATGTCACCATGTGGGACCTGCCTGAGAGATAGGATTGTAACCAGGTCCATAGCCAAAAAAAAATTTCAGGAGTGGTTGAAAATTTCCAGGGGGGGGGGGTTGAAAATATCATGGGAGGGGGTTGAAACCTGCCTCCTAGCTCACGCTGAAACAAAGAGCACAGCAGGGGGCAGAGTAGCCTTCAATAGCCTGCAGCTCCGCCTCTGTCAACCACCTCCACCAAGTCTGGCCTCCTTAATGAGAGCATTCAACACCCCCCTCCCCCCGATGTTGCTTTGCTACATCGGCTATTGCTGTGTGAATAAATTGTCAATATTTGCTTGAGATAGTGCTTGCAGTTCTGGAGGGACTGTTTTGCGTCTCATAGCATGGGGATTTGGTTAACCAAAATTCATGAGTAAACCAGTTGTTTTTTAAACCTGAAAAAATTTGGGGGGGGGGGGTTTGACCCCACCCCCCATTGTAACCTCCAATTCCCACCACATTCTGGCATTCCAGAATGATAACATGGTCAATGACATCAAATGCTACCAGAAGTCCAAAAGCACCAGCAGAAACACATTATTCCTCTCAATACTCAGGCGAAGATCATCCACCGAGGCAACCATAGCAGGCTCTCTCCATATCTATTCAAAGCTGGTTTGAAATAATTATAGAAATGGTATATCATCCAAGACTGCATAAAGTTGGGAGACAACTGCTATCACTTTCCTTGTACAGAAAAGGAAGATTAGGTGCTGGGCTATAGTTGTTAAAATCCAAGTCATTGAAGAATGGCTTTTGAAGACATGCTCACACTACTGCTTTTTTAAGCCAGATGGAAAACTTACTCTGGGATATGCCTTAATGCTAGCATACTTTAATTGTGGTCTAGAGGCATCTCTCTGAATGGCCAGCCAAGAAGGACAGGGATCAAGTCTTCCTCACTTGCCGTAGTAGCTTGTCCACATCAATGATATTCACCAACTGAAACTGATCCAGTATAATCCTACCCACAGAGATAGATAGCCCATTGTCAACTTCTGTTATAATGAGAGTGTCTAAGTTGGTGCTTATTAAGAGAAAGTGCTTGGCTTTGAATTCATTTATACCCACTGAAGTAAAACACATCAGATTAGTTTACCTTCAAATACTTCAGATTGATTGCCTACCAAAATTTCACCTCAAGCAAAAAGGCTGGAGTGTTGGGGGGCAATGAATTCAATTTGGCCTGGAATAAAGAACCTTGTTAAAAATAACAAGATCAGAGGAGCTTTGACGAAACTAGCAAAACTAGTTAGAGTTGGGAAAGCTCGTGTCATCTGTAGTGCAAATGGGAATTTATCAGTTTTGCATGAATGTAAGTGAAGATGTTTCAGGTTGAGTTGAGTAAGTGCAGAATGCAATGAGTGGGACAGCCCATTGTTTGGGTTGTTGTAGGCTTTTTTGGGCTATATGGCCATGTTCTAGAGGCATTCTTTCCTGATACTTCACCTTCATCTATGGCAAGCATCCTCAGAGGTTGTGAGGTCTGTTGGAACTAGGAAAATTGGTTATTTTTAACCTTGTTAAAAATAACAAGACCAGGGGAGCCTTGATGAAATTAGCCCATTGTTTACTTCTGCAGCTCTTCCCGCTCCTCATGTTTTGGAGAGAAGTCTCCAGTATCCAGAGCAGATTTTAAGAGTAAGAATTGAGCAGTATGGTGGGGGCAAATATCATTGTGGTGATAGAAAAGAGTAATTGGATCCTCAAACACACACAGTTTCCCACATCATCTACTGCTGCAGTCATATAAAGCTTTCTATTCTCCACTTGCACTAAATGTTTGCACTGCACATCTGCCAGCCATAGATCACATTTTTCACAGTTGACACTTTCCACACTAATCTCCTGTTGACCTCATAATGATCATACCAGCATGATGAATTTCATATTCACGACTTCTCTGAAGGCAAATATAAGCAAACTATGTGCATAGTTAGTATCACAAAATGATCGATGTTCATGAGTGTCATTTAAACAAAAACCTGCTAAGAAATCTAGGTTTGAAGCTGGGGAAATCTTCAACTGGAAGCCTGAATGGTGATCACACCAACACACACTTTTAAAAATATTTTATGCCCATTTCTCCTAATATGCACATTTTCTATTGGTTTTTGCCCAACATATGTATTTCTCTGACTGACTTCTCCCAATATAATGTATTTTTATAATTAGAGAACTTTACTGCAAAATTTAAGAAAATACACGAACGCAATTTCCATTTTGTATTTTAGTCTGGGATGAAATTGTTCAGCTTGATTCAAAATGTTAACTGAATACATGTATCCTTTGTTTCTTGTCCAGCTAGTTCTTGCTAAATGATATTGATAGCTGAGAAATCGGAGACTGTGTTGTTAAAGGTTTTCATGTCCGGTATCACTGGGTTGCTGTAAGTTTTTCAGGCTGTATGGCCATGTTCCAGAAGCATTCTCGCTTGATGTTTTGCCTGCACCTGTGGCAGGCATCCTCAGAGGTTGTAAGGTCTCTGACAACCTCTGAGGATGCCTGCCATAGATGCAGGCGAAACGTCAGGAGATAATGCTTCTGGAACATGGCCATACATCCCACAAAACTTACAGAAACCCAGTTGGAGACTAGTCTAACATTTTCTGGATGAACAGTATATGCCATACCACTGAGCTGTATTCCCTCCTCTCACCAATTTCTCAAACAAAAGACAGCATTCACATTATTATTTGAAGCAATCATGTATCTGTAAGAAGTTGACTTTTAGTTATGAATCTTATTTTGTGGCATTTGCACAAACCCCGAAAGACATGCAATGTAGTTGTGCTCCATTTACTTTGCCATTGGCCATGATCACTGAGGCCAAGAGGTGCTGGATGTCTAAAAGGACAAGGAGGACTGCAATTTATTTCACCTTCAAAAGCAGGGAAGGCGCTTCCTGCAGGAATGCTAGGCTCTGTCCACAGCTCTTTCCATTTGAAGAAACAATTCTATAAAGTTGTTGTTATCTCCCTGCCAGTTTTAGTCTTCAGGCAACATCGGAAAGGCCAAAGGTGTGGAGTGAACTGGAACAACCATAACTGATGTGAAAGAGCTTCCAGTTTTGAAAGAGCACATCATACTTGGCGAAGTACAAAGCATATTTGACATTATCTTGAGCTGTCAAGTTCTGCAGGAAAGAGCAGCCACCGAAGAGCTGAGTTTGGAGGGAAAGCGACCTTCACATGTATCTTTTACATTATAAATGTCAGAAGTTCCACAAAATATTGCAGACTTTGTGCACTGCTAACAAGGCTGCAGATGTTTTAGCTAGGGATGTTAATTGTTTTCTTCTAATTTCTGCCTATATGAAATATGTAGAGCTGTAGGCTATTATTATCTTCGGCTTCCAGTTACTCTGTGCTCTTGGGCTGCAAATTAGCTGCTCAGTACTCATCTCAAGAGGCCATCCCAGCAATGTAATTAAGATAAGAATGTCAAAGCAAAGTCCTTTATTTCTCTCTTGCTTTACAGTGTTCCACCACATGTGGCGGAGGAGCTTTTTGGAGGGAAGTGGAATGCAGCACCAAGAAGGACGCTGACTGCCAGCACATTACAAAACCTGATCCAGCAAGAAGGTGCTACCTCCGCCCATGTGCCCAGTGGAAAGCGGGCCACTGGAGCAAGGTAATGACCCCACTTGGCCATGGAAAGCGTACTAAATGATCTTGCAAAATCATTTAGAATCATAGAATCTTAGAGTTGGAAGAGACTTCGTGGGCCATCCAGTCCAACCCCCCTGCCAAGAAGCAGGAAAATTGCATTCAAAGTACCCCGAACAGATGGTTGACCTCACAGTCGCACTGGAGGTTGACCACACAGTCAACCAAGAGGTTGATCACACACTTGCACCTAGAGATTCCAAAAGAGGCCTTATTAATGGAATCCTTGAACAACACTGACCAACACAAGTTTTGGGGCCTCAAATTTTAGACCTGTTTCTGGATATATTTGACCTGTTGATTCAAAACTGACATCTGTTTTCCCCTATCAATTCTAGTTTTTGAGATAAAGAACATATGTCATATACCAGTCCCTATCTGCTCATCCATTAAGAATCATGATAACCATATGGAAGAAACTAGAGTTGATGTAATCTATCCAATGCATTTTTTTAAAGCAGCACCCCAAATAATCTCAGGAACAAGCCTAAAATACAAGACACCAAGATTTTTTGGCCTGTGTAATCAAATTCACAAAAGTAAATAGCACAAACTTTAACCTCACAAAAATACACAATACCTCCTAATTAATGAATTGCAATTTGTACTCACAGTGTGCATCCATGTGAAATGTACATGGATATACCATTGCTCTGCATATGTCACTCAGCTTCTGCAACACTGAAGCTGTTCTCCATTGGATAAATATGTCCAACCACCTCTATGGGGCGATGGATAAGTACAAGGCACCAGTGGGTCCTAGGCAAAGTTGCCATAAACACAATGCTGCAAAATACCTTTAAAACAGGAAGATGTCTTCATGTAAGTTGAATACATTTCCCCCAAATCTCTGAAGATATTGGTTTATCTGTAATAGTAACCTAACTTTCTTTACCCTAATACTAGCCTTTATTATTAAGTTATTTGATATTTTGAATACTAAGGAAGAAACCGAAAAGGAAGATTGAATCAAAATGCATGGTGTGTCAGGGATTATAAACCCAATTATGCATCTCATTCTAATGCAATGTCTTTCTATTACAGCAACCACTATCATAAAGGCTATGTTTCTACATTTTCATTTTCCCTGTGCTTTTCTGTTCTTAGAAATAATCATTTTCTTGATTACCTAAATTGCTGCTGTTGTTTTGCTCATTACCAAATATTACTCTTACTATTGGACTGCACCATGACGGATATTACTGTTTGTTTGCAGCCATCGAAATGGGTGTCTGAGGATAATAACACATTTCTATTTAAAGAGAATTATCTTGATACAGTGAAAGATTTTGCAGAAGGTAGATTCACCTGGGGAATCATACTTATTGGATTATAGCTCTCCCGGTTCACCAGACAGCATAGTCATCTTATTTCCCAGGTCTGTGCAAAACAATCTTGAGGAAAAACTTTGTCCGACATTTACATGTGTCGATATGCCTGAAATTTGTACTTCCTTGGAGCTTATATGAGGCTGGTTTCTGGTAGAGTTAGCTCTCCATATCCACAGATTCAGCATCTGTAGATTCAACCATCCATAACTTGGATTTTTTTTATTGCAAAAAGAAAACTTACATTTTGCAATTTTATATAAGGAACATATTTTAATATGTCATTGTCCCTAATGGGACCTAAGCATCCATATTTTGGCCTCTCCGAGGGATCCTGAAACCAATTCCAGTAAATAGCAAGGGTCCACTGTGTTTTCTTACACAAGGATCTTCTCCTCCTTTGCTCCTTCCCCTTCTGTGACCTTGCCATCATCATCGTTTTTTAATCAGTTTTTAATTAGTTTTCTTTTAATAATTACATGTAGCCTGCCCATTGTCATTGTGATTGTGTTTATTGTAATTTTATATTGTTATGTATTCATATGTTTTATGTAATTATGGTGTTATTGATTATTGTTTGCGTTTTTGGTTTTATTCTGCTGTAATTTGTTGTTTGGGCTTGGCCTCATGTAGACCGCCCCGAGATGGTGGCGGGGTATAAATAAAGATTGTTGTTATTATTATTATTATTATTATTATTATTATTATTATTATTATTATCGTCATCAACATCATCATTTCATTTCTTACCTGTCCCTCTTCATGGCTCGAGGCAGGTAAAAAAATCACTTCTTTCCTGTCTTTCTTTGTCATAAATGCTTCATCTACTGAGGGAAATGCCTCTGGTAAACAGCAGGAGGGAGAACCAGGGAAGAATTTGTGGCGGAATGAAAATCACACATAGTGCATGTCTTTACCAATCCATACTTTCTAGGTAGAGAAAAGATATACCACGCAGATGATCAGGAAAGATTAAGGTGATTACTCTTTGTTATACAGAGCAACATATATACAGTCATGTGAGCAGTTGCATTGACTGACACAATGTTCTTTGAGAGAGATTCAAATGTTCCTTGGCTGTCCATGTGAAGGATCTTCTTCCAGCATCTCAGAAGCAAAAATATACTGACTTGTTTTGGCAAGTTCCTACATAGAAAACCTAAACATGTAACTGTTGCCAAAACTCCCAGGCTCAGCTAGCCTCTCAGGCATAGCCCAACCAATCAGCTTCATGCTCACCAACTGATTTTTGCATGTTCCAACAGAATTGCTGGCTATATGGGATGGAATGAGTCTCTACATTAGAAGTTTGCTATTTTGTCCTTTGAGCCTTTTGAGGAAAAGCACTACTGTTTGACATCCTTTTAAAGGGAGACTGCACTTGACAGGGACTATCCGATCAGCAAGAGGAGTAAGTGTATGTATGAGGAAAGGGAGGCAATCCAGTGTAGCTGTCCAGGTAGTGGTTTTGTTTTGTTTTGTTTTGAACTGGATGTTGGCCGGAATACTGCTGGCATACAATGCTAGCAGTTGCACTTTTTCCAGGGTCACTAAGCAGTGATGAGTGACCGTAGCCACTGGCTGGAATCTTGTATGGTCCAGATTAGCATAACAGTTCTGCATACATAATAACTATGCTAGACTTCACAGTTTACTATAGACCCACTGCAGCTAGAACACCATCATCACCATTTCATGTCTGGGAAAGAGCTGGGGATGAATCAAGAAGTGCAGGCAAGCATTTCTTGATTTGCTTCCAGCTCTCTCCAAGGCATGAAATGATGATGGTAATGGGGTAGCTGCCATGGCTCTGTAGTAATCTGGAGGTTGGTGAATGACACATCCCTATAGTCAGACGCATCATGATTGCATCATCCAGTGAGGGGGAAGAATACCAATCTTGCATCAACCAAAAAAAATATTCCTTTGTGTGCTGCTAACCTTGTGTCATCCAGTATCTGTCAGCACTAAGCAAACTGTTTTTCCAATGCCTCACTGCCTTCAAGGCTATTAAATTAATGGCCTTGTTTTTCTTAATGCCAGTTCCAGTGCTTATGCGTAGTTATACTGGGAGAGTGCAGCAAAATTAGGTCTCCTATAAAGTCACCTCATTGACACATTGGTTAGAAATCTACCCAGTGCATGTGAGAAAGCAACACAACCTTGTTATTGCTGCCCATCCTCAGAGTTTGGAAATGACAAATTGTAAGTAGCATGTAGGTATATGATGACCTCCTCCTTTTTACTATCATGGTGTAATAAAGTCACATTTCAAAAGAAATATAATTACATCAAAAATATAGATTTTTTTGTATCCAATGACATTTTCCAGTTGCTTTTTGAAAAGTGATTTTTGAGAGTGTTTATAGGGACTTTGATTAATTTGATTAATTTTCTATTCCATCCTTTTATCAATTTTCTTGACTCCCCCTCCCATGTGCCTGAGCTTTCCTGTCTTTCTTTCCCCCATGTCTCTTTTCCTTTTGTGTTCTGTCTTTCGTATTGTAAACTGAAGGGCAGGGACAGTCTTGTCCTGTTACTATTGATATGCAAGCTACTTTGAGAGTCTTTCTGACTATAAGACAGGTTATAAATAATCATACTAGCCAGCTGGCTAGCAACTATGGGAGGCTGTTGAAATCAGCATGAGGTGAAAGCAACAAGATAAAGGATAGGGGGACATTTTTCAGGAGACTGACTGAGCATTACAATTACCGTACTTTTATTCTTCTTGATGCAAAGAGCAGCCCTTTGGTTGCATCTGATGAAGGTATACTTGACACTATGGAAGTTTGTGCTCCCAACATCCCTCTCTCAGTCTCAAAGGTGCTAGAAGATTATATGGCATATTGATCCAGACTAACATGGCAATGATTTTGATTCAACTCCCAGTTTAG